ATGCCTTTAATCCCAGCACTCAGGAGGCAGAGAGAGGCGGATCTCTGTGAGTTTGAGGCTAGCCTATTCTACAGAGCCAGATCCACGACAGGCACTAAAACTAAAAAAAAAAAAAAAAAAAAAAAAAAAAAAAAAAAAAAAAAAATCTTTACAAGAAAACCTGCAAGAATGGATTCAAAGTTCTTGATAACTCTGAAGCAGTGCAACCTCCATGAAAACTGCTGCAGAAACTTTATTATTAGTTTATTATAGCATGGAAAAACAAAGTAAGGGCATGACTAAGAGCTTCTGGGGAATGGTTTGTTTAGGAGTAAATGATCAGTCGGAATGTAGACATAGGCACGAGCATGAAAGAGTGCAGAAAATGCCATGTCTCTACAGAGTGGAAAGGAAGCAAATAATGATGGAATTATACTTTAAGCAAAGGATCGTGTCCTTTGAAAGCTAAGAGCAACCAGATCCATGCAGACTAGCAGGAAGGAGAGTTGGGCATTGATATCTGGTATACCTGTCCTAGTATAAACACTGGGGCTCTAGAGGCAAAGGAATGCATCCATGAGAACAGAATGACATAAGACAGAGAACTGAACATGGAAACAGCAAACGGTTCTTGTGTTCTGGAGCTAAAAGTATACATAAGACCAAATGCCTGTAACTGCACAACTGTGCTGTCCTGAGTGGAGTTAAACAGCACTAGAGTTCATTTTTAAATCCTACATGACACAAGGAATCTGATCATCTCTTGTGCCATGAAGCAAATCTAATTTTATCAACTCATGTGGGCTTTAGACAGAGACTGGTCTCTAAGAGCTGGAGATACACTCTTTAGATGAGTGACAGATTGAAAAGATTTGTAAGAAGGAAAGGAAGCATTCTTTAGTCTTCACCCACAGACTGATGTGGAAGATGAGCTCATGTGTTTCTGTTTCTACTGGTTATGTGCCCCCCTCTGCCACACCACTGTCTGCTGTGTGTGTGTGTTGGGTTTATGTCTGCAGAGCTACAGATTCTGGCTAGACTATTTGTTCTGACCTAGAGAGCAGATTATTCTTGAGTGAGGCAGATTTCTACATTCTAGATATTTCAGTGTTTATAACACTTAGGCTACCATAAGGGGTTCCTTTAGCATCAATCAAGGCAAGAAAATGTTCCATTAAAATATCTGGTCTGAAAATTTTTGATAGAAGTTCACTGAATTATATCTGAGAACATACTAATTAGGATCTGCAGTGTTTTGAGGGAAACACTGCATTTATTGTATAGTTACAGTCACTAGTCAATTTATATCCTTCACTCTTCAAAAGCTGTTAGGAAAAAGGTAAAAAAAAATTACACAAGCAAATAATGAAGGTACAAAGTCATCAAGAGAGAGTGAAGAGGGGATGTCTTTTCTATAGTCATTGCCTCTTTTTTACTTTTTTCCCTACTTTCATTAAAACTCAGGATTGAGTAATATGAATTTGTATGCTCACTACATATCCTCCCACCCAGCTACAACCCCCACTGCTATGTATCTTCCTTTATTTTTTGCTGTCATAGGTACAAAATTTAAAAAAACCATAGTTATATTTGAATTGGACCAAATCCATGCAAACAAAAAGCCCATAACTACCTATAATTTCTTTGCTTGTACTAGAAAATTTTTCTCTATACAGATGAACTTGATATGATATACTGGCACAGAATTCTTAGTGAACACATTTGGTCAATTTGACTCTCTGTGCTAGCCACCAGATTTCAAGTTTATAGACTGTCCTCAAAATAAGGGAAGTTTGGAGACAGAAATAACTTGATTTGACAGTGACTATGCCCTTCTTTTTCCTGGACTGAAAATTTGTAAAGTGCATAGGCATGCATTTGCTTTAAAAGATCTGTCAAAACCACTTTGAAAATAAAGGGCAATTAGACAATGACACATCATCATCAGAAAGTGCACGAGTGTGTCTATAATGTATTGCATGAATATGATAGAAATAGAACACACGCTGAATACATTCTGATTTAAAAGCATCCACTAGTATCTGCAGTTATGGCTTAGTGATTAAGAGCACCATATTTTCTTCCACTGGACTTGTATTTAGTTCCCAGCACCTACATGATGGCAAACAATGGTCTGTAAATTCAGTCCTAGGGGATCTGATGCTGCCTTCTGACCTGCAAAAGCAACAAGCATATGAGTGGTGCACAGACATCCATGCAGGCAAAGCACTCATATGCATAAAAATAAATGTTTTAATAAAGCATCCACTATATGAAGCATACACTTTTTAATTTATGAAAGTCGATCATGAAAAAAAAGTTAACTGGCTTTACTTTTGTTATTATTGTTCTCGAGATAACCAATATTAATTTTTCTCTTACTGAATAAACCTCCAAATTCTCTCATAATTAACCACAATCTCAGATTTTTAAAGCATTAGTATATACTTGACTAAAATGCATTTAAATTTTTTAAAGCTTCCCAGGGAACAATGGCCAAATGATTTCATTCTTTCACAAATTAAGGTCAGCCATATAGATTCCCTTCTCATTATTCTCAATCCTCACTGAGCATGCAGGATTGAGGGAGAAGGTGCCCTAATGAACATGACTTAGTGGGTTTGATACCCTCAGTAGAATGCCAACACAGGGGTCTCCTTTGCTCGCCTCAAAGCTTTCAACTCAGAATAAAGGACTCAGAACCTCCAGCCTTACCCTTCACACAGGGTCCTCCCTCATCCAGCCTTGGGTTGTGCTGCAGAAAGGTAGCTCTGTGTGCTATGGGTTTCATTTGAAGAGAATGTGGGCATAGCTGTAAGAAGGGAACTGCATCCCTCTGTTCCAGTCCCTTTTCTTTCCCATTTATAGGGAAAACTTTTTCTTCCACAGCTTATCGATCCAAATTGGTAAATGAAAGAAATGAGTTTACAGCACTTGTCAATGATGTTATCACATAAATGTGGACTTACATATGAGATGTTCCATGGGGGAAATACCTAGTAACTACCTACCAATACAGAAGAGTAGAATGGGAACAAAGCCCATAAATTACATGCATTTCTGCATTTTACATTCCTGGGACCAGAAACAATAACATTTCCTGTGATGAGCACAGAGTCTCAGAAAACACGATTAGTGTACTCTAAGGCCAAAGCAAACATATATGTCATATGATATGTTGACACGATCATAAAGCTTTACATCTGTCAGATGATGGGTGGAGATAATTAGAGAGGTCTGAGTGAATTACAGAGGTGAGACTCTGCCATCAAGACATCCTGGCTGTATGCCTCAAGGTGCTTGCCCCTGGGAATGGACAACAGGAACAGCCAAGCAAGAGACAGCTGTTTCAGAGAAAATGAAATGAAATGAGCAATACTTATAACTGGGGTTCTGTCAAAGGAGGAATTGCATCTTTTTCCTATGTCCCAACAGAGTTGAAATTTAAGCCTCGTGACACTTCAGACTGAGTCTGTAATTGAATACAAAGGAACTACAAGTGCACATAAATACACACAAATATGATCACAGAGATGTCTATGTTACACATATCTCACACAGAAATATTTTCCCTCCATTTTAAAAGTGATGGTTAACAGAAAGCAGGCGTAATTATGTGACAGTATCTCAATAAACTTAAGGAATGATCTCTGACACATAATCAGTTCTCAATGTGTCTGTGGATGTTCTAATTAAATTTTATACAATGGGAAATCAGAAGAAAAGCCTGTGCAATGTTAGGGAACAATGACTCATTTCTGAATGAGAAAGTGATGTGTGGAGGAAATCGCTTGTCTCTAATGGTCACTGACATTAGTCCTTAGTTATGAAAAGAGACTGGGGCCAGCAGAACATTCTGTAGAGCAGGAAGCTGTAGTGTTTCTTGTCTTCGCAATGAATTGCATAAATAATTATCACACCGATGGGAGAGAAAGAATCCTATATTGTAATCAGAGGAATATTTTTAAGAATTCAACAGTGAACAACTAAAAAAGACACAAGAGCATATTTTCAGATAATCACATTCTTTGTATTTTTAGTAAGGATAGTGTTTATCATAAGACATATTAAACATACATATATTTAGAAAATTGGCTTCCAAACTATTCCAGAACAATAGAAAAATTAGAGTTTGAAGAAAAAATTGCCATTGATACTTAGTTTCACTGCTCAGAATAAATGTGTAGTCTCCACAGCTCACTTTATTTTAAACTGTTGAATTTTTTAAAGTTTGCTTTCATAGTTTTTTGTGTGTATATGCAAGCGTAAGTATATGGTACATGCATGCAAGTGTCAACAAGGGTGGAAAGGAAGTAAGATTTCTCTGGAGGTGGAATTATAGGTGGTTGTGATGTGCAGTGTGTATACTAGAAACAGAACTCAGTCCTCTTGAACAAAAGCAAACGCTCTTAACGGGCAAGTTGTCTTTCCAGTGCATCACTTCTGCATCATAATCATCTATCTATTTAATACTGCATCCACTTAGCAGAAAACATAGTAGTGTTTGTCCCCTGGGGCTGTGACCTCTTTAGCCACAGGTTCATGGCTAGAATAACACTGCCGGATATAGGTTTCCTTTCATGCAGTGGATTTTAAACACAACCAGGTGATTTGTGCCACTATTGTGCCAGAACCTGCCAAGACAGTTGTTATTATATCTCTCAGGCTTCTCATATAAGTAAAATCAATGGTCACTTTTTTCCTCAGCCGTGTACACAGCACCTCCCAGCACTATGGAAGCCAGCCAGTAGGAATGAAGTCTCTGGGCCAGTACCAGCTTGTCTTTTCCATGTTCAGTGGCTCAGATATGTGAGGTCTTCAGTCACAAGGGTCTTAATACCAAGTTCTGAGTTTTTTGTTTGTTTGTCTGTGGTGTCTACTAGAAGCCTTGTAACATGCATATATGTATATATGTACAGACATGTATAGCTTCAATATACATATACATTCCACATATATATTCTACACACACACATATATAGCTTTTATGCATATCTTCCATATGCATATATGTGTCTATCTTTTACATATACATAGAAGCCATTTATTATAGGAAGCCTATACTTCCCTGTCTTTTTTAGTATATCTTTGTCTGGTTTTGATATTAGGGCAATATTGGTTTGGGGAAGGAATTTTAAAATGTTCCTTCATTTTCTGTTTCAAGGAACAATTTGATGAGTATTGGTGTTAGTTTTTTCAAAGCCTGGTTGAATTCTTCACTGAATCCATCAGACTCTGGGGCTTTTGTAGATGGGAGGTTTGAATTACCCTGTCTATCTCACTGGATGTCATGAGCCTATTTGAATCTTTTTTTTTATGGTTTTTCAAGACAGGGTTTCTCTTTGTAGCTTTGGCACCTGTCCCGGAACTCACTCTGTAGGCCAGGCTGGCCTCAAACTCACAGGGATCCTCCTGGCTCTACCACCCCGAGTGCTGGGATTAAAGGCATGCACCCACTGCCCAGTGTTATTTTAATCATTTATTTTGTCTTGATTTAGCATTGGTGAGCCATGTATTTCTTTTAGATTTTTCCAGTTTGGTGGAATATAGTTTTTTTTTAAGTATGGACTTATGATTCTCTGAATTTTCTGTGGTTGTATGTCCTTTTTTGTGTGCAGTTTTGTTAACTGAATTATCTCTCTTTTTCTATTTTTCAATTTGGTTCAACATTTTTGTCAGTTCATTCAGCAGAGGTTTCTTTAGTCTCCATGGGTTGGTAAACTTACCTAGTGTCTATTGTTGCTGATACCTAGCTTTATTCCATGATGGTTATATAGAATACAAAATGTGGCTTCACCAGAGTAGACCAGACCAGGCATCTTCTTAACCATTGCCAGTAATCCAAGGTGGGGTCATCCTCGTGGATTCCTGAGAACTTCCTCAGCACCCTACTTCTTCCTATTCCCATAATGTCTTCATTTATCACAGTATTTCTTTCCTTGCTCTCTCACTCTGTCCCTGTTCCAGCTTGACCCTTCCATTTCTTTATGTTCTCATCCCCCATTCTTTGCCCTCCACCCTTCCCTCATTCCCAGTTTGCTCATGTAGATCTCATCTATTTCCCTTTGCTGGGCTATCTATGTGTCCCTCTTAGGGTCCTCCTTGTTAGCTAGCTTCTCTGGAGCTGTGGGTTGTAGTCTGGTTATCTTTTGCTTTACATCTAGTATCCACTTATGAGTAAATACCCTAACTGTCATCATAGAGCCTTCATTCAATGACTGATGGAAGCAGATGCAGAGATCCATGGCCTGGAAACAGATGCAGAGATCCTCGGCTGGGCACCAGGCTGAACTCCAGGAATCCAATTGATGAGAGAGAGGAGAGATTCTGTGGGCAGGGGACATGGAGATCATGATGGGAAAATGTGCAGAGATGATCAGCCACACTAGTGGAAACCCATGAACTGTGGACTAATAGCTGTGGAGCCCCCATAGGACTAGACTAGGCCCTCTGGAACGGGAAACAGTTGTTTAGCTTGAACTGTTTGGGGATCCCCCAGGCAGGGGAATCGGGATAGGTCCCTGGTGCATGGGTGGGCTTTTTGGAGCCTAGTGCCTAGGGTTTGACACCTTGCACATCCTTGGTGCAGGGGGCCAGGGCTTGGACCTGCCTCAGCTGAATGTGCCAGGCTTTGTTGACACCCTATGGGAGACCTTGACTTGGAAAATGTGGGGATGGTGGGTGGGTTGAGGGTGAAGGCTGGGGGGTGGGAAGAACTAAGGGAGGGATCTGTGGTTGGTATGTAAAGTGAATACAAAATGTCTTAATAATAATAAAAAAACTTAAAAGAAAAAATGTGGCTTCAATGTTTCTCTAACTATTACATGGTGATATTTTATTTGTGCTGAAATGTGGTGATATTTTGTTTGTGCTTTAATAAATAAGGCTTGCCTGGAGATCAGGGGGAAAAGACCAGCCATTTTAAGTAAACCAGAAGTCAGGCAGCACACAACCTTAATCCCTTAGCAGGCAGGGTCTCTGTGTGTTCAAGGCCACACTAGGGAACAGAGCCAAGCATGGTGAAACATGCCTTTAATCCCAGTACCAACCTTAGAGACCTGGAGGTCTGTACAGACAGACAGACAGTGACAGAGCTGTGTAGGAAGAGCAAGTGAGATACCTGGGCTAAAGAGCCAAAGACAGGGCAAAAAGCAAGGCGTATAAGCCTGGGTAGATAGGAAGTCACCTAATTTGGAAGCTGCAGAGTTGGTGAGGTAAGGTTGGCTGGTGGCTTTCCGTATTTCCCTGTTCTCTCTAAGGGTTTAACCCAAATTTCTGGCTCCCTGTTTTTTATTTATTAAGACCTTTTAAGTCTCGAGTTACACTATTAAGCCTCATTTTATGTCCTAATACATTGTCAGTTTTAAAGAAAGTTGCATAGGCTGCTGAGAGGAATATGTATCCTTCAGCATTTGGATGGAATTTTTTATATACATTAGCAGGATTGATTTGATCCATGATGTAATTGAACTTCAGAGTTTATTTATTTTTCTTAATGACCTGCCTGTTGGTGAGAATGGGTCCTGAAGTCACCCACTATTGCTGTGCTGGGGTTCATCTGTGGTTTCATGAGGTTAGGAGCCCCTTTCTTTGATAGGCCATAATTAGGCTTGTAATATTCTGTTGGGTTTTTCCTGTAATTAATATGAAGAATTTCACATTCCACCTTCCAGGGAGCACAGCCTTTTCCCAAGCCCACCAGGAACTCTACAGCCACCATACTTGACTTGGAGTCAGTAGACCACTTTTGTTCCTGTTTCCAGTGAAACCCTACATTCAGGTCACCGAGCTCCACAGCTGGCTAACAGGGGTATGTTTCTCTTACTTCTGCATCAGAGAGCTTATTCTGTTGTCACAATATCTTAGCAAATGAACTGCTGATAAAGCAGCCCCACTGTTCTGCTTTGGATCCATGTGGAAGATGCTGCCATTACTGGGGTCTTGCTGTGTTTGCTTGCCCAACTACGGGTCATCTTTTATGCATGGCAAATCCTAAGACACTGTGATAAGATCACTCCAACTTCTATTTTTCCATGTTATATTATCTGTCTAATTATGAATTAAACTTTATGTAAAACATAATTGCTAGACTGTGGTTTATTGCTTTGATAATTGTCAATGCTTTTAGTTAATTGACCTGAAAACTTTTTCTATTGTGATGGATAATATCTGGATAATTATAAATTAATGGGGTGGGCTACAATTTATTTTAATATTTTATATATTCATAAAATACATTATAGAAAAATATTGAAAATAATGTATTTTTAAAGAACATTTACAATTTAGAGATCATTTATGAAAGAAAGGTTTACATTTACATCATTTTATATTGTAATGAATATATACAAATGTAATAGCTAAATAATTCAGAAATAAAGAAATATTTGCAGTAATTTAAATGCATATGGAAGTCAGTCAGGGTTCTACAAGTATAGAAAGAACTGATTTCTGACTTCCCATAATGTTTCAGCCACTGTTTGTGCTATTCAGTTGCTTGTGCCTAGGTCAGAAAAATATATCTTTCAGTGCTAATTAATTTCCTCAATCCATGAAGGATGCTATCTCTTTTTTTCTTTTTATAAAATACATTTTAGTTGAAATATAATTACATCAATTACTTATTTCTTCCCTCCCACAAACTCCCAGCTAACCTCTCTCAACATCTCCCATGTCCTTGTTCTCCCCCAACTCTTAAGTTGATTGTCCCTTTTCCTTTGATATTATTGTTGCACAAATATATGTGTATATATGAACAAATACATGTATATATGTATATTATGTATGTATACATAATTACTCAATCTATTTTTGTTGTTTGGGTATATGTGGTTTCAAGCTGACCGCTTTACATTGGACAACCAGTAAGAAGACTCATCCCCTGCCGGCAGTGGTGGCACACGCCTTTAATCCCAGCACTCGGGAGGCAGAGCCAGGTGGATCTTCATGAGTTCGAGGCCAGCCTGGTCTACAGAGTGAGATCCAGGAAAGGCACAAAGCTACACAGAGAAGACAGGCTAATTCTCCTCCTCCTCGTAGTCATTGGTTGTTTGTAGGTCTTTGTCTATGTGTGTAATCTCACAAAAATCTCCCCTTCTGTAGTAACATGTTCATTAATACTACCATTTTTCCTAACTTATTTATGCAGCCATTTCTAGGTAAGAATTTTTCACAGCAGACTTCCTGATATTCTGGCTCTTACAATTTTTCCACCCCATCCTCTTCAGTATTCCCTGGAACATAGATGCAGGAGTTGTGATATGGATGTATCCCTTATGGCTGGGTTCCCCAAGATCTGTTGATATCTGCATTGTGAATACTGTGTTTTCAATAGTTGGTAAGGCAGAAAATATGGCTTTTGGCCCATGATGTTGGTCTTAGTAACTACGTAAGTACGTATGGAATAAGTGAGGCAATAGTTACCAACTTCTGACTTGAAAATCCAAGAAAATCAAGGAACAGAAATGTGCCTCTCCAAGAGACTTCCATATCTATTGATGCTTATCATCTCTTTCAGGTTGGGTGGAATCCATCATAGCACAGGAGCATAATATTTCACCATTTTTATCTGGACATCAGTGACCATGTGTTCACTTCTCAGTATAGACTTAATGTTGACTCATTGAAAATACCATCATGTTCTCCTCTGTGAGGACCAGAATATCAGAAGTATTTTAAGGGTAGCTTTAACTGCATCATACAGAGGTAGAAGTTCTTCTAAAACTCAGCATTGACTTCACACTTTCTTAATCTGTTTTTTGGAGGGTTTGTTGTTACTAAGTTTCTCCCCAGCAGCACACTGAT